GAGCGTTGTGTTAGTGCAGAGAAACACAACCATGAAAAGTTGGGCTGCAGCCCATACTTTTATAGGGAGTGAAGGAGAGGCCAGCCAAGCCAGCAGAAAGGCTTTGAGTGAGGGGCTCTAATGGCTGTGTAAACAAGATTATCAGTAGCTGAGCTTGTTCCAGTAATATGATACCAGTTACCACACACCCGCACACACATACAGTACATATACCCAATGCTAGATCTCAGACATAAATTGACTGTTTAAATACACACACATAAAGCTACTGCAACAGGTCATGCTTGGTAGAAATACAGACTGAAATACCGGTCTGTTTTCTGTCTTGTTACACATGTGGTTAAACCTGTGACACACCAGCACTCAGAGTCAGGTCACTGTCTACCGTCTGCGTGTCTCATCTAGCTACTCTAGTGCAACAGGTGCCCTTAATGAGTTACATCAATATCACTAATGGTGAAAAACCCCACACTTAAATAAAGCACTGCAAACACAACTGGAATTTTCCATCGACTCACAACCACAAGCAAACAACAACAAAACTGAACAAATGAACAGATGTTTGTTTATAGACAGACAGACAGACAGACAGACAGACAGATAGATAGATAGATAGATAGATAGATATACAAAGGGACAGACTGACGGATAGACAGATAAACAATAGACAGACAAATTGTCTAGAATGAATTTTTGTTTTGTTCTTTGCTTTGTGCATGTGTATAAATTGAATTGACTGAGTCTACAGCCTCACTACATAAACTGTAGCCCTGTCATCGAGTGTTTAGTTCTTCCCCTCACTCTTTTTTTTACCCTCTTCCTCCCACGCTCTCTCTCCCCTCTCTCAATGCTCCCTCCAGCAAATGCTTTTAGTACTACATGTTACAGCTGACAGCACATGTTGAGGCAGCACATTCCACATTACTACTTCAGATATTTGTGGCCCACAGGTCCTCTGATTGGCGGAGGAGCCTCTGACACTGGAGATGCAGACAGCCAATGAGGTTTCTGCTCCAGGGAGCCATGAGGAAGATAGTAAATCAATGGCATCTGGTGTCCTGGGCAGTGCTGCTGACACACACAGTCACTGCAGTGCAGACTGTTGAAAACACACAGTCGGACACCTATTCAGCGCGAGTCCAAACTCTTTAGATTTAAAAGAGACTGTTCTGTCACTTTACGCATTACACAATGTGAAGCGTTTTTCCTCTGTTTTGACTATCCTGCTGTTCTTTTGTCTGTTTTATACTAATCTCACCCAGACTGTGAAAAACATCTGCGAAGGAATGAAAGAACGCCAGACAGCTCCTCAGGCCCATTTCAGTGGGCACCTTATGGCTGTTGCCATGGGGTCTGACAGCTGAAGCCCTGTTATGGGCATAAGCTCGCTCATTTATTCAGACAACTGCAAGACGTGCTACATCAAACCCTGAAACACTACTAGGCCTAAATAGTTTCAACAAAGATCCACTGAGCCTTCATTATTCCACAGCCAGCCCCCTAATGCCTCACATCTCCTCTCAAAGACATTTTCAAAGACTCTGGATCAGACACAATGGAAGACATCCACTAAGCTGAGGGAAAATTGGATCTGGTGCTTATGAAAAACTGTTATCATATGCAAAGAGAATAAAGAGACTAAATATGTAATGAAATTGTGCTTTACATTTTGTCACTCAAAGCTGAAATGTTGTGTGTATATATATATATATATATATATGAAGAGTTCATTTGCAAAAACAGATAACTCAAAAAAACTTTCAAAAATTATGATTTTTCATTGTGCATTCCCATTAATCTCAATCAAACTGCAGTTGGGTTATTTTGATTAGGTTAAAAAATAACTAATAAATACAGCTAACTAACACAATAAAACACATTATAAACATAACAATAAAAAACATGATTTTTATCTGTTTTCGCGAATAAACTCTTCATATATATATATACATATCTTGTGTTACTGTTTAATAACAAAATGTAATTTTAAATGTTATATACAGTATATATTTTATTTTTTTCTTGGATGCTTTTCTTTTTTGTTACCGACATCTGGTGAAAATTTCATATGAACAGCACCTTTAGAAATATATTTACTGAGAAAAATGGTGATGTGTTCAATACTTCTTTTACCCGCTGTATGTGGTGCAAAAGGGAGAGTGCGCGAAACTTTTTTGCAAGCAAAAAACAGGTTTGAGGCTTGTAGCAGCAGATTCACGCCGTTGTCGTTGTGCACTTGTGTTTGTGCTAGAAAAAGCATCCAAGGAAATAAATATATATGTAAGAAAACATTCTACAAGCGTGCAAATCTCATTGCAAGAATTCACATACTGATTTGCGGATGTACAAAATTCGTCCGTGACCAAATTTTTGATGCAGGTGTGTGAACGTGTTTTGCACCATATTCACTGCAGTAATAGTAGCAAAACATGTGAGTGTATGCGTTTCTTAATTTGTGATTGGTAGAATAGGATTTGTGCACCTGCAGTGAAGGATTCGAGAAGGTGTAACTATTGTGTTGTGTTTGTTGGAGAGGAAAAAAAAATCTACAAGTTTGCAACTTTTGTCTGTGACTTCAAATTTACTGGTACACATGTGTGGCTATTCTCTACAACTACTTAATTCCGCTGTCACAGACACTCAGTTGTTTTGCACCAAAATACCTTCATAGGTTCTGGCGTACGCATGGTTTTATAAATCTGAAAACTTTTGTGCGTACACAAAATTTAGCTTTTGAGCGTATGTACACTTTTAGGATGAAATCTACAGAGAGTTTTATAAATGAGACCCCTGGACAGGTCAATGTGGACAGGCCCAAACCATCTGAATGGCGCCACCTGTTGTTTTTTTGATATGCAACTGTTAAACTATTAGAAGCATTCTGAGGTTATATGACCTGAAAGGACAAACCAATATGTCTGCTTTATGAGGCCTTTGCATTGATTGGCATGTTTGGCGTCTTTCCAGAACCTTAACAGAGGGCGATCCTACTTATGCATACTATGAGCAGATAATATATATATGCTCCCTGTGTATGTGTTAAGCCAGCTGACCTTAGTTAGCATCAGATAGAATGTGCTAGGGCTACCTCAGAGCTACAAATCTACCTCCAGTTACCATCTGTTCTCTATTGGCTGATTAGCATTATGAGTACTGCAGGCTAGTAGATAAAAGAACATATTTCTGAAGTTTTACAAGGTTCTTGAGGACCCAGTTCCACAGGGGGCCTTATGAGTTTGGCTTACCCTTACATCTCCCACCCAGAAAAGTACGGTTCAAACTGAGAATCTCTTTTATCTCTGTGCTGGAGTCGTGTTTGGGTTCTTGTGAAGTCATGAAGAAGCAGATAGCCTATACATTTGGACTACACGCTATAGCTAGCCTCTATCAAGCATCAGTGAGCTCACCTGATTTGTAATGAAACATTATTTGTAATGTAATCTTGCACATGTCAAATTTATCACAAAATATCAGGTTTGCGAGCAAGCACTGTATGGTCTGTATGGGCAAATTGGAAAAATATAGAAAAACGGATAAACATCATACCTGCGGGAGTATGTTATTTTCAGCGAGCTCATGGCGAATGCTGCAGATAATCACAGCCCTGCTGATATTCCGACTAACAACAGCGCGTGTGATGCTGTGCTTTTATACAATATATGCTTTTAGTTCAATAAACAAGAAGTTAATATTGAGCAACTTACATTTTAGACACAGTATTGACAGTTGTGTTTGTCTATTTTGTATAATTTCCAAACAAAGCCACGGCAGAATCAATGCCAACGAGCAACACATACATGTCATTCCTGAATGAATCAGTGTATTGAATCATTTGAATGAACGACTCAGTGATTCACTCGTATACACAACACTTAAATACAGTCACTTGTCGCCACCTACTGGCATAACGATATATAGCCTGCAGAAAGAGTCACTAAAAATCGTTGCCAAACGCAGACTAGCAGAGGGATTTAAACAAAAATCAATTATTATGAAACACCCCTCGAGAATTAAGTTTGAGGAACTAACAGAACTAACTATTATATAAATAGATTTTTTTACTAATAATATAATATAATATAATACTACAAAAAATATAACCTTTAAAGGAATAGTTCACCCAAAAATTTACATTTGCTGAAAATTGATTTACCCTCAGGCCATCCTAGATATAGATGAGTTTCCTCATTGGAACAGATTTGAAGGAATTTAGTATTACATCACTTGCTCACCAGTGGATCCTCTGCAGTGAATGGGTGCCATCAGAATGAGTCCAGTATTACCCATATATTGCATTCTCCAGTCAAAAAGTTGTCTCATCTGAATCAAGAGAGAGATGTGCACAGATCAAGCACTGTTTACAAGCAAACATAGTTTTAAAAAAACACATAAAAAATGTGTCAGTGGATTTTTGACTTTTTGGAGGAAGTGTTGCTATGGACTCATATTTTAGCCAGAAGCAATGGTTTAAAGTTAAAATGCCCTTAATAATGGATTTGTCTCTTACAAATGCACAGTTTTCACTTCACACGACATTAATCGATGAACTGGAGTCATGTAGATTACTTGTGGAGTATTGTGATGTTTTTATCAACCATTTAGACTCTCATTCTGACGGCACCCATTCACTGCAGAGGATCCATTGGTGAGCAAGTGATGTACTGCTAAATTTCTCCAGATCTGTTTAGATTTTTAGCAAATTTTCATTTTTGGGTGAACTATTGCTTCAGCCACATGTTACAACAACATGTTACAAATGACAAGTTTGTGTCAACACTGGATTTGTGGCCTTTATGGAGCAGATAGTGTTGAAAAAAAGTGTCTTATGTAACTCCAGGCTTTAGTAAAAGTCTGAGTCTTAAAGGATTCCTGCAAGGTTTTTTTACTCACCAGATTCCATTTCTAAACATCAGACAGAATATACAATCGTTCTCCCATTCTCCTTTCACTTTGCATTTGGCCCACTCGAGACTCAATTACAGTTAAAACCTTTACGTATCTCATTGTGTAGAAGACAACAACTGCAGATCCTCCTCTCCAGAAACTTCACAGAGATCTCTGGATCTCAGCGGGACCTCAGCAAAGCCTGATCTGTGCGTGACTATCACAATGGAGCGGCGCATCTTCACGTCTGCAGCAAATGCCTGCTTAGAATGCGAGTGAATATCAAACTTGAGTAAAGCTGTTAAGCACACCACATGTGTCTGAGGAAAATACTGACTCTCGCCGGTTTGGAAAATCCAGAGTCACACTGAATAAGGTCACTCGGTTCAAACTTCCCCACAGCGGTATCAGCATACAGCAGCAGTAGAGGTTCTTTCATACACAGCGTGACTCCTGTTTGAAAGACACTCTAATTCTCCTTCTATCCCACTGTAGGAAACCCGATTAGACCTCATCTTAACAACTCTGCCTTTCAGTTTCGGAAGGGAAGTGCAGGGATCTGCAAGATGGTCCGCTTGTAATTTATGGCTTTGGCTTCAGCTCTTAGAGTGATAAAAATGGCAGAGAGCTGGTGATGAATGCATAAGGATTAATGGAGGCTATTTAAAGACTCTACGCAGAGCAGAGAAGACAGGGACACAATTTTCCATTCTGAAAGGAAGTGGAAAATCCATGGATTATCCCCAAAATGACTATGCTGTGTAGTTCAATCATTAAACTTGGCGTTATGCCACAGTTCTGATACCAGAGGAAGCTTTTTACTCTACTGTGGTTGTTGTATATTGATCGGTCATTGGTTGGTTGGTAGTAGCCAGTGGTAGTGAACCAGAATGAATGCAACCAGGGTCATAAAGCCTCTTTGCCTGGTACTGTGCATTTCATTATGGGTTTTTAGGAGGAGCACCATTTATTAACAGTGAACCTAATATATGCTTGTGTATATAAATGTACACTACTGTTCAAAAGTTTGGAGACAGTAAGGTTTGTTTATTTATTTATTTATTGAGAGAGAGCAATTCATGTTTTTTACTTAGCAAGGACATTTAATTATATTAAAATAAATGCTTCTTTTGAACTTTCTATTCATCAAAGAATCCTGCCAAAAATGTATTACGGTTTTCCACAAAAACATTAAGCAACTGTTTTCAACATTTATAATGATAACAAATGTGACACTGAAGATTGCAGTAATGACTGCTGAAAATTCAGCTTTGCTTTTATAGTTATAATTAAAATATTTTGTTTTAGGTCAAAGCCTGTGAAATATCTCTTCACAAAGACAAATGACTGTTTCTGTGGCCAAAAAGTAAAAAACTAAAATTTGTGACCCTGGACCACAAAGCAGTCATAAGTAGCACGAGAATATTTGTAGCAATAGCCAACAATATATTGTATGTCAAAACTGATTGTTCTTTTATGCCAAAAATCATTAGGATATTTAGTAAATATCATGTTCCATGAAGATATTTAGTAAATTTCCTACTGTAAATATATCAAAACTTAATTTTTGATTAGTAATATGCATTGCTAAGGACTTCATTTGGACAACTTTAAAGGTGATTTTCTCAATATTTCGATTTTTTTGCACCCTCAGATTCCAGATTTTCAAATAATTACCTCGGCCAAATATTGTCCTATCCTAACAAACCATACATCAATGGAAAGCTTATTTATTCCGAATAATTTCAAAAAATTGGTCCAGGGTCACATTTATGCATTGCAATTTCATTGGTATGTTTGCTCAGTATGACAGAGAAAATATTTTTTCATAAGACCTAGATTTAGACCTAGGTCATGATGACTTGTGAAATATTTTATGCTTTAAAGGCCTAAATGTCATTGAAGGAAGAAATATGATTTATTTTTATTTACAGTACTTTACACTCCTGTATGTCATTTGTTATGTACAGTATATGTATATGCATAATAGTATATGTATATGCATTCTGTACGTATCACACATTTCTATTTCTATTAAATTAATCTTTATGAAGAAAAACGAACAAACACGCAATTAAATTGAGATTAATAACCTTTAAGCAACCTTGTGCTCTGTTCCGGCAGTTGTGCACTTTGGGTGTCAATAACATTGTGATTAAAACCAATGCTTCCTGTACTTTTTGAATCTGAAGAAATAGGTCAGCCAAATGTAACCTGTTGTAAACAATGTTGGTTGTTCTGTATTACTCTCCAAACAGGCCTCATTAAGTCGAGGCATTAATACTCTGCTGTGCTTTCAGTGCTGCGGATCGCTGTGGGATCAGCTCAAGAGAGTTCCTTCCTGTCGACGGGGCTTGTTACTGTCACAAGCATCCTCACCAGCTCCTCATGCTGTGAAGTTCCCTAATTAGTCACCTCACCGCAGCGCTCGTCTCTCCTGATTCACAGAGAGCAGCACACAATACACAAGGCACAAAAAGAGCCATTTTAATGAGGCATAAATAAATAAATATATATAATTAAATAAATACTATATATATTTTTATTATTATTTTATCAGGGCCATTTCTGGCAAAAACCCAGAGGTTTGATGGCCACCACATTATATAAATATACGCATAACTCACGCAGATAAGCTGACACTGGATGCCGGTACCACCAAAACCTGATTGGGCTGCACTAGGACTGTCGTGTCACATGTGACGACTCGAAGCCCCAGCAGGAACTTTCCAGGAGTGGCACCTCCAGCTCCCCAAATACAGATGATCTGCAGATGAAGACCGAAGGAGATGTGAGCTGTTTAAAAACAAACTCGTAACTCATTCAAACCACTTTTAGACTACAGAGTTTTTCTAGCAAATGCTGTTACAAAGTGAAAATATGACAAGGCTTATAAAACTTTTAAAAAATGTAAATTAAAAACAGATTGAGAGACCAGGCTTGTAATTGTGGCTTTCACAACATGAAAGACAAAAGATGCTCACTCACTTCATAGACACACACTAGGACTCTGTATGCTAAAGCCACGACCATCATCTTCTGCAGGTCCTCCAGTGACGTGTTCTCATCAATCTCCTCCACGATAAACTGCATCATGAATTTGGAAATATCTCTGTTTAGAAGATCAAAGACATATGAACTCTCATACAATACATATACACTCTGTTCAAAAGCAGGGAGTCAGTAAGATTTTTTAATGTTTATGAAAAAAGTCTCCTAAGGTCATCAAAACTGCATAAAAATGTAATAAATAAATAAAAATACAGTAAAAATAGTAAAACTGTATAAAAGTTAATTAAAATGTAAAATTACTGTTTTCTATTTTAATGTACTTCAAAATGTAATTTATTCCTGTGATGGTAAAGCTGAATTTTCAGCATCATTATTCCACTCTTCAGTGTCACATGATCTTTCAGAAATCATTCAAATATGCTGTTTTGCTGCTCAAGAAACATTTCAATATTTAAAACAGGCATGCCACTTAATACTTTGTGGAAACTGTGATATTATATGTAAAATAGTAGTACATCTATCTGTCCAGTGTAGGAATGATTCAAGAAGGATAATTCATTTTTGTTCTCAACACGTTCTCTCGACTCACCTCATTCCACTGAGATGCATGATCCACAACACTATGGTTGCCTTAACACAGAAGAGAATGAAGAAATCCACAGTTTCTGCCAGAAATCTACGGAGCGGGGAGGGGATGGTGTACTCTCTACCTGAAAGAACAAAAGATGAAGTCAGGACCATGAAGTTAGAACCTAAGTGTACATTCTCAAGTTTGCACCTTCAATGCTTCAACAAATAATAAGAAAATCAGATCGACAGAATTCACATCAGTGTCACAAATTTGCTTACATTTGTGACCCTGGACCACAAAACATAAGTATAAGTCATAAGTAGCACAGATATATTTGTAGCAATAGCCAACAATACACTGTATGGCTCAAAATTATCAATGTTTCTTTTATGCCAAAAATCATTAGGATATTAAGTAAAGATCATGTTCCATGAAGATATTTTGTAAATTTCCTACCATAAATTTATCAAAACTTAATTTTAATTAGTAAAATACATTGCTAAAAAAAGACAACTTTAAAGGGCGATTTTCTCAATATTTTGATTTTTTTTTTTTTGCACCTTCAGATTCCAGATTTTCACATTTGTATCTCAGCCAAATATTCTCCTATCCTAACAAACAATACATCAATGGAAAGCTTATTTATTTAAAAAATAAGACCCTTATGACTGGTTTTGTGATCCAGGGTCACATTTGATGGTGACCTACAAAATTATGCAGAAAGGGAAATGTCTAATTACTAGTAATTCTTTCACTATGTAAATTAATGTTGGCCTCTCTAGTACTGTGCTACTCAGTAGCTGGTGAACAGGTGTCATTGTCTGTCTGTCATGGCTTTTACAGTATCATGTATTTAGTCTGGTTTTTATTGCTGGATTATGTCTTTACACCAAATTTTAAGTAGGCACAGTGCAGCCTTGAGACACCTCAATGTGATGACAGAACATATAATATTAAAAAGTACATATAATGTGGATTATGGAGATACATATTACTAAAGGTACATAAAAGTAAGTTAATTTAGTCCAATTCTTCATTATCGTTTGTTAACATGAGTTTAATGAAGCAGCTAATTACTCCATCTCCTCGGAGCAGTGGATTGACAGCTACCTGCCGGCTGTGCTGGTGCTCTCTCAGCGCTGCTGGATGTGGCAGCGGCTGCTGGGCGGCTGCTCATCTGGTTACACCAAGCGGCGATGTCAGCGGGCGTCGCGGCACACGCGGATGCGGAGCCGCCGGCGGGCGGAGGAAAGAGCGGCGCGGACAGGAACACCCAGCTCTGCCAGCTTACATAGCCACTGTAATAGCGCCACATCCACTGCTGCAGCCGCTGGCAGTATTCAGTCGTTGACATGTTGTCATTGTCATTGGACCCCTGACCGTTTTTGACTGTTTCTTCCGCACTATTCTTCGCCGCCATGTTTACTGGTTTTATAAGTCTTATTTAGACTTCCAGTTATTAAAGAGGCTAATCGGCTCAGGCAGCGGCCATGACAACTGCTCACTGAAGCCGGAGTATACCATTTATTGCCAGTACATATGAACAATGTTTTTGTAGCTGGAGATTTTCAACTACCTTGTCCTGTGACAGACAGTTTCCATAATAATATTTATTATAGCAAAAAGACGTGTCTGGTACAAAAGACACTAACAGTGTAAGCTGAATATGAAATAGCATCAACTGTTAGTGCACCCCTGTGATATGCAATAATGTTGCCTGCGAATATCATTAAGACTGATCAAGTTAATTATAATGTAACACATAATCAAAGATAGGTATACAGTCATGATAAATCTGAAACTCGTTATTTAAAATATTAATACAGCTGTCATGCAATTTCAAACTATTGCATTAATTATTTAAAAAATGTTATTAAATAATTGCTATAATTATAGTCAAAAATTCCATAATTATCATTGACGATACACATTCAAAGACAGTTGTTTATTTTCATATAGCTATTATTATTATTATTATTATTATTATTATCATCATTATCATTATTATTATTAATACTATTGCACAACAAAAGTGATTTATCTGAAACATTAATACAGTGGTAAAACAAGTAGGAATTATTAAAACAGTAATTTATATCTGTAAATGTTGTAAACAAGTGCTATAGGCTACTCAAAATATATA